AAAAGAGTACAACCATATGCTTTCGGAGCATAATCTTCAGGATTTCAAAAGCCTTCTAGATTGTCCATTCCAGTGCAGTTAGGGGTTGTCGCTCCTCCTGAAGATAACAATCTTCTAAGCCCACGCATCCCAATTTTATGAACATATTACTCAAAAGTGGATGTAGGCAGAAATTTAGTGAGCATATCTGCAAGATTGTTCATTGGGACAAACTTTCTCAACAAGAATTTTATCACTCTTCTGGAGTTCATGTGTGTAGAAGGACTTAGGTGCAATATGTTTTGTAAGGTTCCCCTTAACAAACCTATTACTTGCTTGTGCAACACAATCTTATTTGTCCTCATATGGGACATTGGGAGGGTAAAATATAGCATAACCAGTTTGGGACTTGTTATCATAGGGATCAAATAAAACAGCCAGTACCCAAGTAGCCCATCAAAACCACATATATATTGGTTTCTCACATAAACGTCAAAATCTTTATATCTGGAAAATGCTGGAGGATATGTTAAACACAATTCTAATATTTCATTGTAGAGGGAGCACTAAACGTTGCTAGCAATTTCATCGCAAATTCAATATCAGGCCTAATGCGACTATAGAACTTCTAGTTCTATAATAGTGCTCCAATAACAATGAAGTAATGGACTTCCAGTCCCTAAATATCTTCATCATCATCTTCGAGTCTAAATGGTCCTTTATCTACTTCAAGAGATTATTGGACAACTGTTTGTGTGATAAGTAAATAATACTTATCCATATAAACCATCTTCAAGACATTTTTCAAGTAGGCTAACTGGTGTATAAAACTTCTTCAAGGAGAAGCTCGATCTTCAAGTTGAGACAATACTTGGATTTCCAAGTCTTTTATTTCAAAACCCCGTCTTTCGGCATGAGCTGATATCACCAAGCGCTCTATATGTTTCAATGATATTTAAACCATCAATATCGACTGAGATGATAAATAACTCCATTAGAAATTCGTTAACGAACACATAATGGTACATATTATTTGCATATTCCTTCTTCGGCAGGAAAACACTCAGTCAATAATATTCAAGTCATACAAAGACTTTAGTAGTTTAATGATACACGTTGCGATTTTCACTTTCCTCATTTCGAAAGTGTTGAATCCATCGGGGATTTACATCAAAAGTTAATTAGACATCTAAATTTTTTAAATTATAATTAAACACTCAAACATGTTATTTTTGATTAAATAAGTCAAATTTATCGATAACCAATAAATTACCGGTAAAATTACACTATTGTCTATATTTTTTGTCGTTGACAGGAGAAATTTTACCAAGAAACATCACCATCAACCAAATGGTAGCCTTCTCCCGCGAAAGCGACCTTCACTAGTCGCCTTCGCCGGAGAAGGCGACAAGAAAAAGGTCGCCCTTCTCCGAAGACGACGACCATAAATGGTCATTCTCAGAGAAGGTGATCAAAAATTCTACAAGAGAAGATGATTAGAAGTGGTTGTGGTTGGAGATTCGTCGAATATTTTGTTGCAATAAAAGTGACTGCCTATAACAGATTTGTAATTAGTTGATGAATTTATTTGTATGAAAATAACATATTTAAACTTTTAATTGTATTTTTTAAAAGTTTAAATGTCTAATTGATTTTTGATGTAAAATTTAGAGATTTATATGATCCTTTTCCCTTTTATTTATAATAATGTTTTGAATTTGATTTAAGTTAATAAATTTCTCTTTCTATCTTTATTAGAAAGATAAAAAAGAAAAAAAAAATATGAAATATATAGAGCCATTGATGACAGGTGTCCGCCATTATCGTCGTTTTCCATACCGAAGTACGAAACCAACACGCAAGCTCTACACGTAGCCGCCAGTGTCCACCAAAAAATATTATTTTTGGCACTTAACCTTATCCATAAACTTCATATTTCTATTAAATGTATAGAATTCCTTTTTTTTTTTTTTTTTTTTTGAGTTGTCGTAAGAAACATTGTACAAACAGTTATTTAAAAAATATTTCGCAATTAAATTTATTATAGTGATGAGATCAGAAACTGTCGAGGTTGGATCAAAGTTGAGATTTAAAAAAAAAAAATGTATTTCGTATGTACTTGGTGGAGTCGGTGCACTGGAAAAGATGAACTCCTGTACTCACTTCACATGCATTCTTTGCATTTGCTGCAGTAACATGCACCCAACTTTCATCGGAAAATACTATGGCGGTGTTTGGTAAAATAATTAGCCTATCAACTAATTTTAATTTATTTGACTATTATTAATTGTTTGATTTGGTTAAAAAATTAATATAAGTATTTGATTAATTAGCTTTTTGTAATTTTAAAATGTTAAAATTTAAAAGCTACTCAAAACAGTTTTTTTTCAATTAACTTTTAAAAAAAAAAAGAAATTATACCAAACAGCTATCAACTAACAGCTAATTTATCAAACACTTTTCTACAATCAGCTAATATTATCTTATATCCTCTAATTAACACAATCAGCTAACAACTGACATCTATCAACTAACAGTCATTCACTAAATAGGGTCTAAATGTACTTTTATTTTTTACTCTAACTTTTATTCTCGCATACAAAATTTCGATATAGATACTTTTATTAGTGTCCATTATATCATAGGGTAAAATTTAAAGAATATAATTATTTAAGAGTCCGTAGAGTAGAATTCAACTTTCCCCATCACATTAATTGATTCTTACATTGTTTATGGGAAAACGACAGAACAGTCGGTGGTGGGGTTGGGTTTCCGTTGGACTGTAATGGTTGGGTCAAAATTGCCAGCAAAATGATGCCTCACTAATAATTATACCTTGATGTATACTTGATTGTTACACTTAATTATTATTACTCTGCATTATTTTAAAACATTTAATTTTCATCTTAAAATATACACTGCGTATAAGAAATCTTCATTTCCTCTGATCAATTTTATCGCACCCTCACCCTGTCGTTAGAACAAAATTTACAGATTGACTTTTGAATCATTGAACTAAGTCTCGCAGACCAAAAGTCACGCGCTTTACCACTGAGCTAAGACGACTTCTTTAACACTTAATTTTAATTGTTCGTATAAATATATTTAATATAATTATTTGTAGTTTAAATTTATAATTTACCCTATTTGATAGCTTGAAAAGTTCAAACTTTATTGAAGGTGTGAAAATTATTTTCTTGTTTAGTATAATATTTGATTTAGTAAAGTTCGGATTAATAGGAATACAATTACATGATATCAAGGGAAATAAATCCTACCTCTATAATTGAGATTTTTTTTCTCATGTGACTGAAAATCAACCAAATTTATTCAATTACGTATTTATCGTTTTCGGCGTCATGTTAAAAGTTTCTCATCAATATAAGAAATTTATCTCTTCCATCATTATTTATTTAAAAAAATTTACATACATATACCTAGTCAATATTCTTGACTAGTTTTGTATCTAAAATTCTAAAATATAATCCTCAATAACGTAAAATGATGCTTGTTTATTCTTTTTTAATTGCATTTATTATATTTTGATAGAATTTTCATGTGTTGTTTGTGCTCAGATTCATTGCATCCATGTACGTGTGTGTATATATATAAATTGTCAATTATTTATTATATATATTTTTAATATTTGTATATAGTAAGGATGTATTAGAGATTTAAGAAAAAAAATCATATAAAGTTTAAACAAATCAAACAATTTAATTAATTTTCAAGATAATCTAATTCTTATATTTTCAAGGTAACACCAAACATATTAATTAATTTCCGGTCCAAAGTTATTTCTATTAACTAAATTCTTTGGAATATTTTTCACAGAATTTAAATGATGGAAAAGTACCAAACGCGCTCCCTAACAGAACTAAGTGTTTGAACGGATGCGCTCATGTGAGAATGAATGCTTAGGAGAGCAATGAAATCGCGAATAGTTATGCTGTGCAACCGAATGTACCATGCACATGGTGCGTACGGTTCAAAACGACGTCGTTTTGATTAAAAACGCGCGTCCCACTTTAAAAAAAAAAAATCAGGTTCGACTCTCAGCAATAGCATTATTGTGGATATATAGTTATGAAATTGTGGATATATAGTTATGAAATTGTGGTTATATAGTTATGAATTTATGGATATTTAGTTCATTCATTGTGGATATTTAGTTCAATCATATATTGTGGATATTTAGTTCATTCATTGTGGATTTTTACTTCATTCATTCATTCATTGTGAATTTTTACTTCATTCATTCATTCATTGTGGATTTTTACTTCATTCATTCATTCATTGTGGATTTTTACTTCATTCATTCAATGTGGATATATAGTTATGAAATTGTGGATATATAGTTATGAAATTGTGGTTATATAGTTATGAATTTCTGGATATATAAAAATGTTATTGCCGGGAATCGAACCTGATTTTTTCTTTAAGTGGGACGCGCGTTTTTTTTTAACCAAAACGACGCCGTTTTGCAACCGTATGCACCTTGCAAGGTGCATTCAGTTGCACAGCATAATTTGCGTGAAATCGCAATCCCCATTTGTCTAGATCTAACAGATCAGATGTAATTTTTTTAAAAAACAAATGCGGTGATATTTTGTAAATAACTCAAAGTTTGGTACAAGTAACATGTGTTAAAAGTACAAGTAACGGGTGATAGTCTGCAAGTAAAATCACTTAAAAGTGTAACCATTTTTATTTAATAGTGCAAGTAATTTATCTTTTTACATTGGTACATCCAATGATAATGTTATGTGCACTTAATATTATTGTTCAGTATATATTATATTGTTACACTTCGAATACATGCATTTTACTTGCATTTAGATGCACTCTATAAAACTGTTACTTGCACTTTTAATACAATTTACTTACACTCCAAAAGTTTAAATTATTTACAAAAAAATCACCACGTTTTTTCTTTAAAAAAATAAAATTGAATTGTTAATTATAACTTTAATAATACATCATATCATTAATAAAATGAAAGGCAGGGAGAATTCTTTGAGTTGGATTAAGGATTAAAGTTAAAAGGATTTTATTATGAGACGATTTTACATATAAGCACGTAGAGGTGCAAACGCTCTCTTAAAGGCCAAAATAAAATTAAAGCAATTCGTCTCCTGAGGTGATTATTGTGGCGGTGGGGAAATATAGTAACAGATGAGATGAGATGAGATCAAGCACAATAGCCGTCTAAAATAATTTTCTCACAACCGGCCGTTGCTGGACAGTCCCGACAATCTGCGTCAGTTTCACACTTCCCACAACCAAGGATCGCCTTGCTCTTCTTCGTTTCCGATGCCAGAACTGCACAAAACCACATTGCTCTTAATCACAATTGCATTTAACTCACTAATTTAGTAGATAATACTTAAAAAAAAGAGACTGTCACTCTGAAAGTGTTTTTAAATCAAGTCGAAAGTCTTGTTCCTACCACTTTTAGTATTCGAAAAAATCTTTGTTGCTATTTCCGTCCACTTTTTTATTTTCGACTTGATTTAAGATCACTTTCAGGTGGTTGAAAATTTTGTAATTTCCAATAGTAATTGGACATCGTCATTTCTTGTCTGTTGAGTTACTGAATTTTCATAATTTACATTCTCTCATATGCTCTTTAGAGAAAAAAAGAACCCACAATCAAAATAATTCTAACTAAGATGACTAAAGATACAAACTTGACCATAAGAGTTCGAATCCTAAACAACTAGACTAATAATTTACTTCTTTGTTGTCCTTTACCAACTAAAGTCACACAGCAGAACTATATAGTGCATACTAGTAGATTTCTCATTTCATCCAAGGTAGTACACAATCATATCATACCAAAAGAGATTACTTTATAAAAAAAGAAAGTGAAAAACAGAAAGTAAAATTAGAATTAACCAAGCAAGAATTACCCAGAGTGGAACCAAATCCAACACAATGACCCATTTCAGATCCAGAGATTTTGTTGATGCAGAAATTGGTAGAGTAAACGCTGTTGGCTTTGCAGTCATCATGGGACTTGCAAAGTTGTCCAGTCATGAACAACTGCTTCTTGTTTGGTCCTACAGATATTTGTGCCATCAAACTTGATGGCAACACTGCAACGTGTATATATAAAGCTCACTTAGCTTATTATTGTTGAGACAAAATTATGTGTATTACAAATACTGGCAGTATATATACTAGATATGCAATTATGCATCTGTATGCGTTTGTACTATAGAGAGAGAAAGAGGGAGAGATAAAGAGAAGCAAAGAGTGAGAGAGAGAGAGAACTGACAAGATGCAACCATGAAAAGCAATAGGAAGCAAGCTGGCTTGATTGAAACTCTCTCCATTATCTCTTGTTGTTTACCTTGAATCTAGTACTTTGTAGCTATGAATCATTTGCAGACTGTAATATATATAGAGAGGGAGCCATAATAAACAATTATACAATTATACAATTATCAATGGGAAAATGACATTTTTCTTTAATTATTCATGTATCTACTTCAATTATTTTAAAAACTAGAACAATCAAATAATAATATTCACTACCAAGCACCTTGTATTGCAACTGGATTGGACTCCCATATGGGATGCTGTAAGTTTGAGCCTCAGTCGAAGCGTTATTGATTCTTTGTGCTTCAGTAGTTTGAGAAAGTAGTAATGACTTTTTGTACTTATAAATTTAAAATAAAATATATTAATATGGATGTCATTCAAAAGATCTTTTTTTTAAGGATCATTCAAAAGATCTTAATTAGAACTTTTTAATGATATATTTTTCATACGTTAGTTGTATTTTTACAAAAAGAAAAAGAGACAAATAAACTCAAGTTAAAATTAACATAAAATTATCATATGAAGGAAAGGTGTAATTAATTTTAATTTTAAATGACATTTTTGTCTAAATAATTGATATTACAAAAATGTCCCTAAATTTTGATGGGAAAAACCTTTCCATGCACTTCTATTATTATTATTATTATTATTATTATTATTATTATTATTATTGATATATATATATATATGTGTGTGTGTGTGTGTGTGTGTGTGTGTGTGATTTTTCTCCTTATAAGTTAAATGAAAATTTGTACCCTTAAAATAAGGGCAAAATAGGTTTTAGGGCAAATTACACTACTGAAAATCAAGTAATTTTCGACATGTGGGTTGAACAGGAAGAAGCTAGTCAATACAGAGGCAGGATTTGTTGGTGCGAGGAGGCCAATCACAATTTGAGAAAGAATAATAAAATACATTAATATCCATTTAACATATTCTAAAATCATCATTATATTACAAATTTACTAAAATTTAGAATGTCTCTCTTGCATATCACGAAAATCATCTATAATTGAATCTATACTAAATTGTTTTGCAATTTGTTTTTCAATGTATACTAACAAACAATCATTAAGAAATTCATCTTCCATCTTGTTACTAAGACCATCTCCAACCATTGTACCAAATTCTGCACCAAAAAAAAATATTCTCAGCATATTCTTACACCAAATTTTTTCCATCTCCAACCCATTACACCAAATTCTGTACCAAATTTTATTCCTACACCCCTCATGAAGTTTATATTTATACTTTTATTCTTTTAACAAAACTAATAGTTGTAATTTAATAAATTAGACTTTAATTATATTTTATGTAATTTTATTTTTAATTAAATTATATTTAATATTAGTTTTGTTTTAATCGTCTTCTTGATAAGATATTTGAAATGATATAATTTAATTTTAATAATATACAATAAGGCGTGATTGGCTTAAAAATACACAATTACAAATTCATACAAAGAGAGCTCGTCAACCACTTAGAGGAGAAGAATCAAGCAGTCAGTTTACTCAATATTTTAATCATTTCGGAGGAAATGATGCTGGCCTAGGAGATTATTGAATTAAGTATGTTTAGAGTAGTTTTAATTAAGTTTTATGTGTTTGTTTTAAATTAAGTATGTTTAAAGTAGTGTTAATTAGACTTTATGTGTGTGCTTTAAATTAAGTATGTAATTTGCTTTAATTTTGTTATAATTGAGCTTTATGTGTTTTCATTTTTAATTAATCTATGTTCAATATTAGACTTGTTTTAATCGTCTTGATGAGATCTTTCAAATGATATAATTTATTTTTAATAATATAAAATTTATATTTAACAATATAAATTTTATATTTAACAATTTAACAAAATATACAAATATATTAAAACAAAAACAAAACAAAAAAGGAATTAAAAGAAAAGGAGAGGTCAAAAAAAAAAAAAAGAGAGAGAGATTTGGCGCAAGGTGAACAGTGCTGCGCCAAATATGGCGCAGCACTGTTCACCTAGCGCCATTTTTTTTAGTGAAATGGCGAGAAGATTGAAGCTGAAAAACGCCAAATTTTCCTCCAATTTGGTGCTTTGGCGCACGGTTGGAGATGGTCTAAGTGTAGTCTTTACTATATTCATGGCAGAAAAAGATCGTTCTGTAGTAGCTGTAGATATTGTAAGTGTGAGAATGAGAGTTACTACTCTGAACACATAAGGATATATGTTTGATTTTCTAGTTTTCACCAACCATTGACATAGATCAGAAATACTTTCTAGTGTTCTGAAATTAGGAAGTTGTTGCACATGTTCAAAATGTTCAAGTTGCGTTCTTAATTGTAAAATCTCATAATCTTCAAAGTCTCGAGGGTAAAACTTCTGACCACTTTGGTCGGGAAATTTGGACCAGCCCGACTATTCTCTTGGCCATTTTTTTCGACGGCTTTAGAAAAGTGTTCGCTATTTCTGACCACTTTTTTCAATAGTCGGAAATAGTGAGGAGAATTTTTCTGGATACTCAAATTGGTCGGAAAAGAGGTTGGAACAGGCGTTTCCGACCTAATTAAGGCGATTTCTGACCACTTTTTTCAGCAATGTCTCTACCAACTTGCAAACGCCATTAATTATGAATGATGTACACATCTCTTTCAGATCTAATGATGAACTGAGAATAATTAACTACATTGCTTTATCATCAAACCTATTGCTCAACTCTTTCAACTGAGAATCAATCACGGCATTAAAAATATCAAATTTGTAATGATGCTCAATTGTTAACTCATATTGTTGATGCCTAGTTATGTTCTACGTACAACATCTGGTAGCTCTATGGGTCCATAATGAATGATTCCATGGGGACCAGGGGCGGAGGCACATTGTTAGTGTAGGGGGCTTTGCCACCCCCCCCCCCCCCCCCCCCCCCCAAAAAAAAAAAAAATTAGTAATACTAATATCGGTGGAGCTGTGGAAGATTTAGAATTAACTGGGCGTCTTGGGCCCTTGGCCCCTCTTCCTCAAAAAAACATTAATAGTATATTATTATTTTTTTAGCCTTCTTCACCAAAGTATCAATCGTTATGTCGTGGAACCGTGTCCATCTTGCAAGGTAGACACGGTTCTATGTTCATAATTACTGAATTATATGTTCATAATTATAAACTTTATATTCATCATTATTGAACTTTATATTCACAATTACAGAACTCTATGTTCATAATTACTGAATTATATGTTCATAATTATAAAGCTATATTTCATAATTTTTGAACTTCATATTCACAATTATTGAATCTATATATTCATAATTACAAAATTATGTGTTCATAATTATGTTCACAACTATATGTTCATAATTTTTGAACTATATATTCATAATAATGAACAGTTTTACTATTGATTGCAATGCATCTTGTGTCATCTACTAAGTTGCTTATTCAAAATTTAAGAGATAGTGGATGTGATGAATTAATTGCAAGTGTGAAGTCTTTTTGTGAAACTGTCAACATAATTGTGCCGAATTTTGATACTCAATATATTGCAAGAAGAGGAGGTCTAGGCATCAACAAGATGAATTAACAATTGGGCATCATTGCAAATTTGATACTTTTAATGCGGTAATTCATTCTCAGTTACAAGAGTTGAGCAATAGGTTTGATGATAAAAATTATTCTCAGTTCATCGTTAGATCCAAAAGAGATGCGTATATCATTCAGAATTGATGACGTTTGCAAGTTAGTAGAGAAGTTTTACCATCAAGTTAGGAGTTAATTATTTTCAGTTCATCGTTATTCTCTCTCAAATTAATATTGGCCCCCTCTGCACCAACAAATCCTGGCTCCGCCCTTGATGGGGACCGAGGCCCTAGGAAGTGGCATTGCCAAACCCTTCTACCAACTAGTTAATTCAATTGTGAAAACGATGAAGCTAGGAATGCAAATCATTTTCGACAATAGTATGGTTGTTGTTGTCCCCTTGATACTACAAAACGGCCTTGTGATTGTTTTTACTAATGTTTTTGCGATTGTTCAAGAAGATATATCATATATATGAAGCTCATAGCCAAAAACCCAATATTTCAATTCCAGTATATGGTGTCTATGATGATAGCATGTGCTCTATAGTCTTTTTTTTTTTTTTTTTTCTTTTCAGGTGACGCGGAGATTCGAACTCATGACCTTTGACATAGAATTGACTCTTATATCAAATTAAAACATGTGTTTCATCTTAACTAAAAGTTTGAGCTGATAGTTAATGGAATTGCACATTTATGTTTATATATTATATGCTCAACAATCAACATATGTTAAGTAAGTAGGAGCTCTTTGATTCCTATCTAATCAAGCATGTTTCGAATTCTTGACACATAAAGAGCTCTATTTATATTGGTGACCTATGACATCATGATGGCAAGCCTCCAATGTAGCACTCTTTTGGTGAAGTGGTAGCGAAATTGATCTCTACTAGTGACAATGCCCAACCCTTGGGATCAATTTCCCAACTAATAAAGCTACCTTATAACTCTATCATACATAAATTCATATAAACCTATAATCTCACATTTGTATTAATTAAGTAGAGTATAATGACTAGTAGAATTGAGAGGCTAACTAGTTCTTATCCTTCAATTTATTGGGGAGGATGATAAAATTGACGAAAGAAAATTTGCATAAATGTTCTTTTAGTTTCAGGTTAAAATCCTCACGAAATTAGACAAATTTATTATCTAATTTACTAAAATTGCAACAACTTTACAAATTTAAAGGGTGAGATTTGCAACTTTATTTACAATTTTTGACAATAGAAGACCAAGAGAATCATATTCAAACAAATTAACCAAAATTGCATTTTTCACAATATAAAATCTGAATCAATGAATCGAATGTATTCAATGTATAATACTATAATTTCAATCAGCAGACAGCAGTTCTCTGAAAATTCTCTTTTTCAATAAAACTCCAACTATACCATAAAACTTCTTGAAGTATGAGAGGTAAGATCAAAGTCCACTACAATAAACCAAAATTTTTACAACAATATAGAAATACAAGGATGATAAAAGTAATATATTTTGCCTGTAAGAAACTATGGGTTCAAAAGAGAAACACTAACATCTATAGAAGAATCAGTTATGATAATTTCTTTGGAATTATCTTCTGATGTTGGGTGGTTTGGGCACTCAAACTTGAGCCTCACTTGTAAAGGTCGAGTTACAATGAGGCCTTCCAAATCTCTTTTTGATGCCAACAGATATGAAACGAGCAAATCTTTGCTTACCCTTCTAGTGGGGTCCAAACTATCCGCTATCTTGGCAGCCTTCTGCTCCCGACTATCCATGCCGGAATCTGCAGTCTTCCTCAGTTTCAAATACAGCGCAGCAGAGATAATGACCTAAAAGGAAACATTATTAGATAATTATATGGATGGTACTGTTTGTTTATGAAGTGGTTTCAATCATCTTCCAATCGAAAATGACCAAATACCAATTTTGGTCGACAGTTTTGGTCCACATATTTAATTTCTACCAATTTTCATCCATGACTATTGTTTTAGTGCCAAAATTCATAACACCGGTCACCCATCCGTTTAAGATATGCCGAAATATGACATTATTAAGGGTATTTTCGCCATTTCCAAATTAAGATCCCAATTTGAGCATTAATATAAGGATTTAAGGCCTAACATCAATCCCAATTCACAATTCTTCTCCTCAAATTAAGATAGGATGCGGAGAACTGCGAATTGGGATCGAATCTGAGCGCTTAAATCTCATTATTCATGCTCAAATTGGGATCTTAAGTTGAAAATGACGAAAATACCCTTAATAATTTTAGATTTCGGTATGTCTTAAACGAATAAGTGACCAGCGTGATGAATTTTGGCAATAAAACAATAGTCGTGGATGAAAATTGGTACTAAAACAATAGTCGTGGATGAAAATTGGTGGGAGTTAAACATATGGACTAAAACTGTCATTTTGCTAATACTCGTGGGACCAAAATTGGTATTTGCTCAATCGAAAATGGAGGAAACATGCATTATGGTTGTGGGACCACTACCTCACTTGTACCAGGACTGGTGTTGATGCAGCAATCAGTGAGAACTTTCCCTTCTGGCACAACTTCCGAAGGACTTGAGCTAAGCAGTTCTACGCTCGATTCAGTTGAGCTGTGTACTTCTTTGTTTGATTCTACTTCCAATTCCGATTCCCAGAAGGTTCGGTGGTCAAGTTCATCGTACCATTGTTGGGCAGCGCATACCTGTGCATATGACCATTAATCATTATCTACATAGAGCTAACAAAAACCTCAATAAGAGAGGTATATCGAATTAATGCACGAAAATGATAATACAGAGATTATCTGAGAATATGAAACCTTTTCAGAAGTGGAAACTTTCTCTGCTTCAGAGACTACTGTTGCTGCTCCTCTAACTTGGCGCCATATGCAACTTTCATTCAAGGGCTCCACCAGCTCAAATGACTTGGGTATGTCGATACTCAATTTTATGTCAACTTTACCTAAATATACAGCCAAAGTATAAGCCTAAAACTGATACATCAAAGTGGAAATTATGAGCATGATATCAAGAAGCGCATTAATGTTACAGTAGAAAAAATGTGAGTTGTAATAACATAAAAAGAGAAATCATAGGAAGTAAAAACCTGGCAGCAAGTTAAAAAGTTCAGCATGATCAACATGAAGTCCTGATAGTGCATCTTTACTGCAATTCAACATACAAATTTTAAAAACAGATATGCAATAGAATAATAAGATAATCATACAAGGGAAAGGAAAAAAAAAAAAGGCCAAGGATGCTAAACTTACGTAGCATATACTCGCTCCATAGGAAATGAGAACCAATAAGGAAGGCCAAGGATGCTAAAATTTGAGAACTGGAAGGGTGATAAAGTCCCAGATTTGCTATTGAACTTTAATACCTCCTGACCAACTTCAAAGACAACCTTATCAAACAACCAATCTACCATATGCAAATAACAAACTCATATTCACTTAGAATCCTTGTTTCTACCTGTATTACAAATGATTATATCATCTTGAAAAGTAGCAATGGAAGATATGAGATCAGCATATGGAATTCCCTCCAATGAGCAATCAGTATGCGTTAGCTGCTTCAACAAATCATTTGGTATTTGTTTAAGAATATTTGACTTCTCCAGAATAAGATGCCCACATTTCTCCAATATATTCGAGAATCCTTCAGTGTATAGAAAGTAGTTGATGATATAGTAACAAGCAACAAGAAATAAAGTGCCTTGGCAGTGGCTTCCATACCTTCCACAATTTCTTGGAGAGCCCCTGAGGCCAAGTCCAGGATCCATAAGGTCTGCAAGCTACAAATAAATTAATAAATGATAGTTAGCAAAATGATCCCAGTTTTATAAGCTATACTGTCACTCAACAACCTAGCAGGTCACTCATCCTTTCTTGAGTCAAAGAGGGTAAAGATCTCATGTTTATACTGTTTTTTTCCCAGGCACTCAACACAACCAAAACAACTCCTTCTCACAACTTGAATGATTTCAGAAAGAGGATGTAATGAAAAAGTAATTAGCAAGGTTAGCTTGAAAGACCCACACGCAAAGTGTTAAATAGGTGAAATAGTCCCACAAAATTACTGATATAGTGTTTTGTTTAAGTTCTAGGGAAGCTAATGGGAATGAAGCTCTGAGACCATGGTAAAGATGCTAGGTCTTACTTGCGATTAAGAACAAAGAGATCATTTTGGCATTTTGAAATATGCCAAGGGAATAGCAATGTTTTTGGAGGAAATTCATCAGATTTAGCCTCTATATCCTTCCTGCTCCAAAGCTTGCCAAAAATCCAGCTCCATAAACTATTGGAATCCTTATTTGAGTTCGTTGCTGGATACAATGTATCTAGAATTCTCCTCTCCATATCAGCTCTCCTGATGGCATGGTTCTTTCACACCAAGAGTAGAGTTTAGCAAAAATAAATACTGAATACTAGTATGAGAACTGAAGTCAAAAGAAAATTGAACAAGGGGCAAAACAGGAAGGAAAAAGGAAAAAGGTAAAGAGATATAAATATGTGTATTCATGACAACAAAAACATAACTGCACCTTTGCAGTAAAAGATTTAGTAGACATAAATAAGGGCAGTTAAGACCAGAAGATTGACCTGACATGCCAAATACTGAACTAGCACTCTTTTGTTGATAGAAAATAAAAACTCTGAAGAGCTTTCATGCATGTACCTCTGAGTCAGCAATGTACAAGCAATTGTCAGCAGCATGATAAAACGAAGCTGCAGGGCGCATTAACTTCGCATTTTCAAAGTCTCCATCTTCAAAACCAGGAGAGGAACCAATCTGAATTAAATAACAATATTTCTATTAGACTATTTCTCTTATTCAGTTATGATAATTTTGTAACATTTATTGATTAATAATAATATAGTTTAACAAGTCTGCAAGTGAAATGCATACAGAGTCTAGAATTTCTCCATTAGCATCAAATACAATGATCCGATGGTGATTACTGTCAGAAACGAAAACGCGATTTCCTTTCTCATCAACTGAAACACAACCTACAAGGAGAGCAATACAAAAGATTTTTTCTTTTCCTTTTGTTCAAGTAAAAGACAATATTAAGACAGATTACACCAAGCCTAAATAGATAATAAATTATTTGTAGTTTACGTTGTAGTTGTCAATGTTTTAGCCATTAGATCCCTATGGTTCTTCATGCCATTGGGGAAACGAAATTACAGGGACCCAGAGAAATCTATACCTGGAAAATAAAGAAATAAATTTCGCAAGGGAAAGCAGAGATATGGCTCCTTGAATACTTCAAGTGGTTTTTCCCAAGGACTATTCATATTATGCATGAAATTAGCGGTCTTCCTATCCTGAACTTTCAAATCCTTGATGACTGTTGAAGTGAAGCAAAAAAAAAAAAAAAAAAAAGAGAGAGAAAAGAGAGCTTATCAATACAATCATATAGATGGAAAGAAAAGAGGGTTTATCAATACAATTATATAGATGGAAAGAAAAGAGGGTTTATCAATACAATCATATAGATGGAAAGAATCATTGGAATTCATTGAAACGCAATACTAAACAAGGCAAAGTGGGACAGTGATGCTTTCTAGGGTTGTGGACTTGTGGTTACTCTCACAGGAATACATCAGTAATCCAAAGACGTTTCAATGAGTCCTATTTTATTACTATTAGACAGTTTAGTAAGTTAGAGATTATTAGAAAGTTATTTAGTTTATTAGTTCAGTTTTACTCATACAATGAGTTTCAGAATCTTTGTATTTTAGTAATTGAATTAGTTTGGGAATCCTTGTATTGCCCTATCAATGGAAAAACTAGTAATAATAACACCAAGCCAAAATATAACCTCCTCTTGGAAATCAGGGTGTTTTGGATATCAAGCAAACCAAACTTTATTTTTCAGCAATTGTTCTTTTCATCGTGTGACGTGAGACCATAACATTGGCTCTATTGCCAGCGATCACTCTTCACATATGACGGTTTCCAAAGAGGACTTTCACGACCTTTTCGAGACAGTTAAGGAGCTAAAATAGGTCATCACAACCTACATCCAAAATCAAGACACCACCCCCATAGTCCCATACTCCCATCCACCTTCATCCTCCGCCATCCAACCAACCACGGGTGATGCCACACCTCGCACTATTGATGCTTTTGTTTTGCAGTCCTCAGTATACCCAAATGGAATTTTCCTACTTTCTCGGGGGCATGGAGGACCCTCTCATCTGGCTCCATCGCTGAGAATCATACTTTTGCAATGCCGACACACAGATTCATGCCAAAGTTGAATTGGCAACCTTCAATGTGACTAGGGAAACTCAACTTTGGTACTACCAAATCTTGTGGGACAAACCACAGATAACATGGGGAATTTTAAAGACTACTATCAATTGTGTTTTGGTCTTCCTTGAAGCAATTATCCCTTGGGGAAATTAGTGAATCTGAAGCAACGATCTCGGGACGTTGATAAATACATCTCAGACTTCCAACGATTACTTGCCTAAGCAGATTCAGTAAGAGTAGATCAACAAGTTGATTTGTTCATAGCAGGATTAGATGTGCTTTGCATTGACATGGAGTTGTACCTCGCCTCATTTATAATTATAACTAAAAGAAAGTTTTACGTAATATATGCATGATGCATCAGAATAATATGTAAATAAATAAATACTCCATAATCAATACCATATTTAGCTCCTCAAGCACAGTGGTATTTCCACAATTAATACAACTTGACAAAACAAAATTAGCAACTACAGTGATATTTCCACATTTTATCCTCACATAAGGTGATCAGTTAAATATAACAGTAAACTACACATACCACAAAACTCGAGGGTAAATATGACATTTCACAAGAATTACAACTACTTTTGATCTCTCAACTATAGTGATATTTCCACATTTAATCTTGGACTATCAATTTGATTAGATTTGTTCCAATGGTTTGCATTTTTGTCAAATCCGGACAGAAAATGTCAAATGTCACCCATGAGTCTAGAGAAGGCTAGAAGCCTAGAATAACAATGAACCATCTTTCTGCTTCTATAGTGAAATCTAAGAGGTCATTCATACAATCACCACTGATGTGATAGAGACTAGAGCAAAAGCCACCATCTCTGTTGAGAAATACTATGAGTGCCCATTCCACATTGCAACGGATCTGGAAGTCCCGTGTAGTAAGCTATTTCCCATAGTCCGAACACAATATTCCAGTGTGCCAAAGATGATTCCTATTTCAGTGACCTCTCAGTTTCCACCATGGAAGCACAATAGTGCTTCATAATTTTCATGGCCAAAGTTTGCAATATGTAAAAAATGGATTTTAAGTTCTTAGGATATTAATAGATCTTTCACTTCGCAAAGCCTATAAGATATCTATAGAACTAACATATACATATCCATATGTTTAGAAGTAGGGGTGACCCAAAATCTGAGAAAGAATTACAAATTTAAATCCAGCACCTGAATCCAAAGTTACAAAATGATTTGATTCATCCTGGAACTAAAATTCAGCAAAACCCCAAAATATATGCATATATGTACACATCACACAGACTTCCTACTGACTCTCTTGGTTCTTGGTTCCTGGTTCCATAACCTACTATCTTGTTACAGCTATTTAATGTCAAAATTACTTCTAGAAGTAATATTTTATAATCTCTTTATCATACTACTACTGAAAAGATCATTGGATAATAAAATCTGACTATTGTCAATATTTCAGGTTTCTCACTGGGTGAGATACAAAAAGATCCATAAATTAATGTATAAGACTATAAGTTCCCAGAATTAGGTAGATTGGCTCTTCTGAGCTGTACTAATATTTTATATCTGAATGGTTCTACATTTTTCTGTTGTAGCTTATCAGTTTATGTACTTAAACTGTCAGTTTCTTTCTATCAAACCACCAAATTCAGATTTCATCAACCTGAAACAAAAATTCCTCAAACCAATGAACTTAATTTTTGGTTCGGCTTTTGGATTTGCCAAAATTTTCAGGCAACTAAAATATTTCTTAATTAGTTTTAAACTGATGTCTACCCTACTAGTAAAATACCATAGCATCTTGTTTGATGGACCAACTAGATTAAAATAGTGAAAACTTGTTTGAATATATAGCAAGGTAAAAATAAACAATTTTGGCATACCATCGTCAAGAATCATGGAATCCACTTCCTTCCCTTGGTAGATTATAGGACTCTTAAGGCCCCTGAAAATGATGCAACATGTCCCACCGGTAATCTAAAATTGGAATATAAAAAATTGAATAAAATGGAAGTTAAAAAGGACATCAAATACTTATCTAAATTAAGCAGATGAAAGATTCAAGACAATCTTAAAAAGAACAACTAATCTTGAGTATAAGTTGACATGGATCAAACCAATTCTACAACCTCACTAGTATTGACTCACAATATTATAAAGTATGGTCTTTTAACGGAAAATTATATCCAAAATCCCTCCTTTGAAATATCACATGTTGATTATGTGTTTGCAATTTTTGGCTCAAAGTGATGATATGCAACAAACCTTAGGAAAATTCTTGTTAGACAACAAAATAGGAAAGGTTATGTATTCCTTCATCACTCTTCGGAGCAAATGTGTGTAATCATCTTTAGAGAGAAGGGGAGATGTGCTATATTGATATCCCATTACTGGAAGGAAAGGATACCTGCAATTTCAAAAGGCTCAAATCAATTGAGAATATTATTAAAGAAGCCAATACAAAGTCAAGGGCATATTACCTCTGCTGAAGTAATTTGACTTTATCAAGCATGATAAAAAGGTCATGCTGTGACAAAGAGGAACCTTGAAAGAATTCAGCTACAAGAACTAAAGTAATGCCTTCTTTCTTAAAGAAATTCTTTTTCAACGCAATTCCGTTTAACCAACAATGAGAAGGGCCTGTACATTCGAGTAGAAGTGTAAAAAAGAAAGTTGTGGAAGATGGGGTGATCTGGCTTGTACACTCTATTGATTGTCAAATTCAGAATAGATAAAACTTTTTCAAGATTCAGTAACCATGAAAGCAATATCAACTATTTCAAAAAGTGGCAATGTCATTAAGGTATACTGAAAGATTCTCAGATACATCATGCACAATTATCACATGAGGGGTCTTGATCATAACAATGGCTCTCATAACTCAGTCCACAATGATGCAGCCTGGTTAATGGCAATATGAACACATAGCACAACTTGTGAAAGGGCCTATATAATTGCTGAAAAGAGATATCTAATGATGCAACTTTATCAAATATACGCTTAATACATTATTGTTGGGAATCGTGTTCAGAGAATTTATTTCACCTTCATGCTTGTTAATAGTAGATTGGATGAAGGACAATAAATCATGTTGCGGAAGAGACTCTTGTTTTGATTTTGATATAGTTGAATACCTGAAAGAGAGACAAGTTAGAAATGCAACAGCATCAAAAACAAAAGATGACTAAAATGCAATGCATTCTATCTACATATAGGAATTACTTCTATATACTTTGAAAACTGCAAGCAATTATTGTGTCAGAGATGTGTAAAGATAAACCAAACAGAAGAATTGGATCATAGAATTGAATATCTTAGACAAATAAAGGAATCTCTGCTCCAACTTTTCGAGAGAAAAGGTACTAGTTAGTACACATATATAGCCATGAGAGGATGGATCCCTGTAAGCCAAAAAATTCTCATTTCTTCTCCAATTCAAACTGAAACACTATTGATTCCTGGACATTACTATCTTTCTCCACTAAATGAACACGAGTACACGACTCATATAGAATCAAAATTAATGGCCATGGCATCATAAAACAATAAGGAAAAAATGAAATTCTAGAAGCAGTAAAAATGAAAAAATTTTACCTACGATAATCACAGCTTTTGTAATCATGTTTTTCAATGCTTCCAATGGATTTCTGAAGTGATGAGCTCAAACACAATGGAACTAAACTTCCAGCTCCTCCAAGAAGCTGATAACTTTTCCCTGATATGAATGAACAGTTCCATTGGAAAAATAACAAAAAATGTTTATTTATTAAAGATTGGAAATAATGTTCATCAAAATTTAGCATTGGTGTTTACCTGCATGATTTAGAGGTAAGAGTCTATGAATTTCTTTCAAGCAATGAAGTCTTAGAGCCACTGGTATTCCCATTTTATTAATATGGGTTTAACACCAAAATAGCTCCTTTAAAAAAGAAAAAGGGCCCCTATTAAGAACTGGATCTTGCTGTATTAAGAGATAAGAGAAAAGAAAGATTAATATGCTGCCTCAGAAAGACAATACATCTATCAGCATCATAGGTTACACAAGAATGTCAATTGAAGAAACAAGTTGGCATAACAAAAATCCAGCAGCTGCACCATGTTTCAGATATGAGTTCCAAAATTGAGAACCATAAAGGACCATGCATGATAAAACAGTTTCAAAGTGCAAATCATACACATCTTTTGACAGAAAAGTACCATAAAAATCCAAAAATTATCCAAATGAAATTAAAACAGGCAAAATTTAAAAGTTAAAACAGATCTGAGCATGTTGAAATAAAATCTACACTTCAAATAATGTGTCCTCAAAAAGCTTTTTTTATATTTAAAATACAAAAAGTACAAAAATACATGTTTAATTGTACTGATAATTCAAGCAAAACTGTTTGAAAAACATGTTTGGTTGACAAAGGCCTCGGCCACAAATTATTGGATTCTATTTTGCTTGCTTTTCTGTGTTTTTGTCCTGATTAGGGGTGGGCATTTCGGTCTTCCATTCGGTTTTTTTCAATTCCGGTACGGTTTCGGTTTGTTCAGTTTTGAAAAAACGAAACCATTTGGTTTAACATTGTAGTTCGATTCAGTTTCGGTTCGGACTTCAGTTTGGTTTGCGAATACCAACAAGATTTTAATTCATATCTCAAGTCAATAATTTTCTATTATATATGTTCTTATAACAATAGTCAATAGAGGCAGCTTATTTATCCTACATTCCTACTCATTAATTGAATCATCCTACCAAGACAATAATTTCAATGAACCACTACCTATTGAGTCTGCAAATAACTTTGTAAGCATTGAGTTTCCATATGGACCACTGTCCTTCTTTGAAGTCAATGAATTTAAAACATCTCTTAATCTGCATGTTCAGCATCAAAGTAGTGAGTGCATAGCCAAGAATAGACAGCAGGTTGAATAAATGAATGTTTTCCACTAAAGATGTAGTGGAAAATAGTCAAATACTACATTTTGCACATTGAGTGGAAATTTTCAGACTCATTGGTTAAGAGTTTAAATCAATTATTCAGCTTTTGACAAGCAATATACATAACAGGAAAAAATGGATAATCCAATTGAGCAACTAAAATTGTAAAACTTTGTGGTCAATAACTAGTGCTAATAATTAATTAATAGTCAATAGTAGTCCAATCAAAAGCAGAATGCAGGATATCCCACTGGGTTTCTTGAATCATTTTTTGAATAATGGCAATGAGCATTCTGAACTCTGAAGCTTCTCCTTGTGATAAAATCAGTAAATCTCATATGCATAGAGGTAGCAACACATACTTTCAGTATGAAACTAAAATTGCAAAGCAGCAATTCTAATTTGTTTTTAAAGATGTATAGTGCAAAATTTCCAACAAAACAAAGCAGTTGATTATCTCACAATAAAGGGAACAGCCTTAAAGGACATTGCAAATCCAATGGATGATAAACTGGTTTTTAAGTTAAAACTTACTAATATAATATAAATAATTGTACACCAACATCCAAAGATACACATATAAAGCAATATTTCAAAGTACATTGTATGGAGAACAGAATCAACACTTCAACTGTTCAATCATCAATGTTCAACAGAATCATCACTTCAACTGTTCAAGCCAAAAAAAAAAAAAAAAAAAAAAAAAAATCAAAAATCAAGTTCAAGGCTTCAAGCAATCAAGCCAGAAATCAAGGTTCAAATGTTCAACGGTACAACCAGAAATCAATGTTCAAGCCATAAATCAAGGAGAGGAGACCGGAGGAGTACCTTGGCTTCGTGGACAGGAGAGGAGATGGAGGACTGGTCTCTGGTCCGGCAAGGCGAGGCATGAGATGGAAGGCTGTTCTTTGGTCTCTAGTCCGGCGAGGCGGCGACGAGCAAGATTATTACTCCTAGACCCTCCATCCCATTTTGTTTGTTTGTATAATTAAATTAGGGAAAATGGCCACTTCAGTCCCGAGTTATAATGATAGTGATGACTTATGATCGTATTTATTTTTAGTCTCTCAGTTATAAGTGAAGTGGTGCATTTGGTTTGGATAAAATTGACGAAAAATTTTAAAAATATTTAAAAGTGTAGGTATAAAGTAAAAAATTCACATTTTATTCACTTTCTTATATTGAAACCACTTTTACAACATATTTAAACTTTCCACCATTCTATTTCAAGGTTTATTTAATTCCAAAAGCAATTCAATAATCTTCGTATGACTTGTTAGTAACTTGAGTCTCGTATGAGGAACATGTGACTCAGTACAAACAACAGAACACTTGATCATTGCCTTCAAGCATGTAAAACACACCATCATAAAAGTTTCTGATTTCACTTACTAAATATAATGGTAATCAAACCATAACTTTTGAAATACAAGAAGATATCTGATAATTGCATAATTGTTCATATTTATACCCCATGTCTATCCCATATTTAGGCTTGTTTTGCTTATAAAGTGTCACAATGTTGTTCAAAATGATCTTTATTTTGCTCATTTGATCCATTATGCACAATTCATTATCTTTGAGTAGAAATGAAGGATTTTAGATCATGTTGGATGCATTTGGAGTCAAGGGGAGCCAAGGTGAAGCTAAGGAGATGGATGCAACACTTCCAAAGGAGCCAAAGAGCTAGTGATTTTTCAATGGTGTTGATCATATGGACAAATTAAACCAAGGCAAAAGTGGAACAAGTGTCAACAAGCTGAAATTCTCGCACGGATTGGCCACTGTTCTGTTTTCAGGCCATATCTCGGTCTAAAAGTATCCAAATTAAGTGATTCTTGTTCCATTGGAAAGAATACTCAAAGGGCTACAATTCTTATAAAATACATCAAAGCCTAAAAAGGAAGCCACATGTGTCAAAATTGTCCTTGAAGTTGAAGTTTCAAACTTACAATCCAAAACTGGCCACTGTTTGGATTTTGGATCATATCTCGGCCTAGGAATGCCCACATGAAGTAATTCTTGCTCCATTGGAAAGAATACTCGAAGGGATACAACTTTCATGAATACCATAGTTTCAAATTCTGACATTTTGAAGGACAAAAAATACGGCCAAGTGCATGGCCGTGTATGTGGCCGTGTAATTTCTGTGCAAATTCCAGTGTGCACTGCCTTTTTGGACACGGCTAGGGACATGGCCATGTCGCTGGCCGTGTCACCTACGCTCTGCTTTATTTATGCATGAATTTTGTCATTTTTAACTTGGTTTTGACTCTTGTTAGAACCCTAGACACTCTCATTTACTTCCCTTCATATTTTTAGGTTAGATTAGGTTTAGATTTATGTTTCTTAACACTTTTGAAGCTTGTAATCTTGGATTTGGAGCTTGGATTTCAACATTTCAAGATTGTTCTTCCATTTTCAATACATAAGTTTTTATTCCTTTTATCTCTTTATTTTGCAAGATTTATGTTTATTACTTGTGTTCTTGTGTTCTTTATGCTATTTAATCATGAGTAGGTAGTTTATGGACTTGAGTTAGGGTTGTATTATCTATCTTGATGCTTGATTTGTGATTTGTGCAAAAAGGGGAAGAACTCTAACCTAGGGTTCTTGAGTTTATGAAGAATTTGTGTTTGTATATTGTTAATGCTTGGTGTACAACATTCATTGGCATGTTTTTGAGGATTCTTGGCCTCAATGAGAGTTGGATCAAGATTTCAAGACACTCCTTGCATAAACCCGATTTTTCCTATGAAAATTGGGGAAATTAGGGCTTTTAGATGTTTTGTGTTCTTAAAGAACTTAGAGTTGATTCACCACGAAAGTGGGCAATTCCTTGTTCTAATCATTGTTAATTTGCTCACGTGAGTGACTTATAGACTAGGATTCATACGTGCATCCCCTTTATTCCTTGGTTGTATGATTTTCCCCAATCCTTAGGTTGTGCTATGCATCTAGAAGATAATGTTCCCTAACTTGAGTCATATTCCTTTATTTTGTGTTTATCTTTGTGTATATATGTTAGTTTTACCATTTTCTTAAACTTTTAGTTTGCTTAGTTTCTTGTTGATTTCCTTATGCTAGTGCCTAGTTTATTGTGATTGCATATTGTGTGTCATATCCCACAATCCCCTGAGGACGACATTACACAACTGTACACTCACACCATCACTCATTTTTGCTACATATCAATATCAAAGTTCTCAGATATTTTTATGACGAATTCACCAAGGAAGTAACTTGAGATTTTTATTACATAAAATACTTATGTAAGCTCTGCAGTAACTTAATCAAGAATCGTATATCCTAACAATATATGAAAATTATTATATATATATATATATATATATATATATATATATATATATATATATATATATATATATATATATATATATATATATATATATATACCCATCACCTCCTCTGTCTTCTTAAAAACCAGAATAATTAATGAGGAACATAAGACTCAGTTATGAAAATTATAAAAACTTTTGTAACTTCTAAAACGATTATTGACTGTTGCATATGAAAAAAAAAAATTACACACTAAAAATCTCAATTTATTCCGTTGGTGAATTTATCATAAAAGCAACATGAGAAATTTGACATCATTTTGTAAATCAAAAGTTCTGGTTTGATTACCTTTGTTGCTTAGTAAAGAAAATTGAAATTTAAAAATTAATAGAATAGTGTGTTTCACACGTCTTAAGACAATGATCAAGTGTTTATTTGTTTGTGCTAAGTCTTAAGTTTGTTATACGAGAGTCAGGTTCTTAACAAGTCATATTAAAGTTAATAAAATGCTTTTAGAATTGAACAATCTTGAAATAAGAGGCTAAGAAGTGAAAAATAATGTCGTAAAAGTAGTTTTGATATAAGAAGGATAATAAAATGTGAAGGGACTAAAAATATATACGGTCATAACTCAGGGACTGAGTTGAAACTTGGGTATACCTCAAGGACCAAAGATGCAATTTTCCCATTAGATTATTATCTTATTTTTAATTCAATATTTTATAACTATTTTCACACGCGTTTGCGCGAATGATTTAATGCCCAATGTTTATAATTAAATAAATATTTCTTTAAAAAATTAAATATTTGAAAGTATATCAATGCAAGATTATATATTAGAAATTCATACATAAGTAATTTAATGTCAAATTTGTTTATTTAAATATGTAACTCATAGTATATGAATACAATGTAATATAGGAGATTCATTATAATTGTTACTAAACTTTTTTTAAATAGTAGTCAAGTATTTTTGTTGCAAAGGGTTATAATATATTTAATGAATGCACATATATACAAGATCAATGAATGAATCAACGGTACCCGTCTTTTTGGTGTTTTACTACGTATTCATTTAGGAATTTATATAAAGTAGTAAAAACTTTAAAATTTTAATTAATTATAATGTAACCCAAAGATATTGGACGATTGGTAAACAAGACAGTTTCGCTGGCTCACTGCTTGCCATCTACGGATGGACAATCTTAATTTTTAAATTGGAGCCTTAATGCTCCTTTTATAGGAGCCTCAATGCTACCATGCCATTTTTCACACCGATGTGGAAAAAGTGGAAAAACTAAGAGGAGCCGAACGTTCGGCTTCCCATATATCTTATTTTTAAAAATTTTATTTCTTTTATTAAATTATTATTTTTTAAACAATTATTAGTATTATTATTGGGGTTCGAACCTAAAACATTTCTTATTGAAATCAATGAGTAAGTTAACGGTGAACTAACAGAAATTAATGGAGAAGATAATATTTAACGAGAAAGTTAACAAATAATCAAATAATTAAGGATAAATTAGGAAATCACAAGGAAAATTAAAATATGATCAATCTGAACCATTCATTTGATTAAAAAATTTGGCAGTCATTTTTCTACCCATTATAGACCTAGGCTCTTAGTATAGTAGAAGTAGATACTGTTTAATATCTACTAGGAAAATACTATGCTCTCATTTTTTACTCCCACAACCATAATTTTGATATAGAAAGTATTGGGACTTACATGAAAAAAGTAGCTTGTCAATGTCTGTCATATCGTGATTAAAATTTAAGGAGTAAGATTTAGGAGTTCATGTAGTAGAACTTTATCTACTAATCTACAAATCTACATGGTTTTGTCCAAAACCTCAAAACAATGTATGTGCGTCATTAGTGCTTCGTCCTATATTATCAATTTGCTTTTGATTATCAGCAAGGTCACAGCCTTACGATATATTGGACTTGAAATCTTCATTCTAAGAGAACAGTATAGCAAATTTGGAATGCGTCGTACTACCTCCCGGCAAGAATAAAGATGTTTTTCCACTCGAAGCAACGTTCATAACAATATTACTGCGATTCCTTATCTTTGCCGATAACGTTCTCCACACGAACGTCTTGCCTGTTCCTTCATAATCATACACAAAGAATAATCCACCTCCATTGAAATCTATATCATTCATCACAGAGTCGTAGACATTCATTTGCTTGGCGGTCAATTGTGTTACTAACGATTCATGCGCTGTTTTCAACGATTCCTTGTCATACACCAATTCTTCGCCTAACAACATGTTTCCAATCAAACTCATGCTACTTTCTTCAGGATTTGGCATTTCTGAAAAGTGCTTCAGCCTCTTCTCCCACAAAGATAACAACTTCTCCAACTCCACAATAGCAAAATGTTTCTTATCCGAATTCGATAACACCAACTCTTAAAAAGGAAAAAAAAAAAACAAAGAAATCGACAAATTAGTTTATTTAGAAATAATGATAAGCAAATAACAAAGTCGAATAAATATATGGGAGCTCGATATACCTAGATTATGTATGAGATGTCTACGTTGAAACCATGCATCCTCGACAAGAAATTTCCAAACGGCATTCCACACTACCTCTGGCCTACCTAGATTATATTTCTTTTAATTTTTTTATAATAAATTTTTTTTTTTTATAAATAAAACATTATAGACATCTAATTCTAAATTAATTAAATGCATATGTATTATTTTTTGTTGTAGTTGTTAGAAAAAATAGCATAAAATGACATTTTAAGTAGCTATTTTGTGGTACAAATATCAATGGGGTCCACTTTCAATTTGGATCGAGTCAAAGTGGATTCGGGTTCTTCGTATTGAGACGAAGAGATTGATATAATGGGTGAATAATATAATAGAGGGTAAATAAGGAAAATCATTAAAAAAAATACTAAAATCAAAATAATATGAACCATTCATTTTAAGAAACAAATACTACCGACATTTTTTTGTTCCAGTTAAAGGCCTAACATTATTGTCTCTTATTAGATTTGTAGATAGAAATAATATGAACCATTCATTTTAATAAACAACTGACATTTTTTTGTTCTAGTTATAAGGGCCTACCATTATTGGCTCTTATTAGATTTGTATGTGTTGTATACTAGTTTTTTACGCGCATTGCGCGATTGGGATAATGCCCAATGTTTTTCCTAAATAAGTATTTTAAAGTATATCAAAGCAAGATTATATTAGAATTGTTAATGCATAGATAATTGAATGTTGAATTTTCCTATTTGATTTTACAAATGCAAGATAATATAGTCAAGATTGATTATAATTGTCAATAAAATAATTATATGGGTATGGTTGAAACCAAATACGGGACATAAGGAAGAGCAAATAAAAATTAAAGCATAAAATATTAAATATATACTAATATTGTTTGAAGAGATTTTGTGGTTAGAGTTCTATTAATACTTTAATATTAGAATTAGATTAATGTTGTAGTTATAATTCTATATTATACTTTAATATTAGAATTAGACTAACGATGAATTAATGTACTTAATGGAAAAAATAATGGATCGGATAATCATATAATTAAGGATAAATTAGGAAATCTAACGGATCAGATGATCATATAATTAAGGATAAATTAGGAAATCTCAATAAAAAATTAAAATTTGAACAATCTGAACTATTTATTTGATTTAATAATTTGACGGTCATTTTTTCTTCCCAATGTTTATAATTAAATAAATATTTGAAAGTATATCAATGCAAAATTATATATGAGAAGTTCAACATGAGTAATTTAATGTCTAATTTGTTTATTTAAATATTTTATTCATAGTATATGAATAAAATATAATATAGGAGATTCATTATAATTGTTACTGAACTTTTTTTAAATAGTAACCAAGTATTTTTGTTGCAAAGGGTTCTAATATATTTAATGAATGCACATATATACAAGATCAATGAATGAATCAACGATACCAGTCCTTTAGGTGTTTTTCTAAGTGTTTATTTAGTTCAACCATTATTGTTGAATAAATTATTATGGATAAAAAAATTCCTAATTTAAGGAATTTAGATGTAGTAAAAATTTAAAATTTTTAATTATAATGTAACCCAAAGATATTGGACGATTGATAAATATGATGTAACCCAAAGATCAAAATGCTAAAGAAAGTGTTTTAGTTATTCAACAGTTTGAAGCAACAATTTGTTCCAAACCCGTGAAAATAAAAAAATTACAATTTACAATATTTTCACTTAGGGTTTTTTTAGAATGATTTCCCTAAAACACGTCTATATTTAAAAAAAAATTATTATTAAAATTATTATTATTATTATTATTATTATTATTATTATTATTAAACTTATTAAAATTATGATTATTATTATTATTATTATTATCATTGTTATTATTATTATCATTATTATTATTATTATACCCTTGCTCATTTTAAATGTTAATTTAAACAGCTAATTTTTTCAAATATCTTTTTACCAACCGTTAATATAATTCGCTGGTCAAATCTGCTAACGCTAACCGCTAACTGCTGATTGCCAAACAAGGACATTGCGAGGTAGTTTTTCAATTCAATTTGTTGTGTGATTTGAATACTCTCTTTGTCAACAAATCTCTCATTCCCCTCCAGTAGTTAATATGATTGACTCTATTAATTTAAATTTTTTAAAATTTTTTCATGGTATTAATAAAATACTTGATAAATAAATATATAGCATTATTTTGTATTATAACTTTGATATTTAATTAAAAAATAGTGCACAAAAAAGATAATAGACAATGTAGTGAATATAATCAATTGATGAATTTGAATGTAAATAATTTTTACATTGGAGAAAAATAAAGACAATATAACTAATGAAATTATTTCTCTTAATTAATTTGTTGATAATGAATAATTTTTTTTGTAGGGACAATGTAGCGAATAGCGAATATAATCAATTGATGAATTTGAATTTTGAATGTAACGAATTTTTATATTGGAGGAAAATAAAGATGATATAACTAATGAAATTATTTCTCTTATTTAATTTATTGATAATAAATAATTTTTTTGAATAAAGGCATTGTATAGTAGACACATAATTCTAAATTAAAGAAATACATATGTATTTTTTTTGTGGTAACTACTAAATTATTATTTAATAATATCTACTATACTAATAAGAGCCCAAGAGAGTTAGGCCTATAATGGGTAGAAAAAATGGCGGTCAAATTTTTAAATTAAATTAATGGCTCAGATTGATTAGATTTTAATTTTACATTGAGATTTCCTAATTTATCCTTAATGAATATGATTATCCGTTAACTTTTCCGTTAAATATTATCTTTTCCGTTAGTTTCTGTCAATTCACTGTTAACTTACTCATTGATTTTAATAAGAAAGGTCTCAGGTTCGAATCCCATCCCAATCAAATTAAAGTTGACATAATTAGTACTCTATTTTACTCTTATTAAATTATTAATAAATTAAATTAATAATTTAGTAGCTACAACAAAAAAAATGCATATGCATTTCTTTAATTTAGAATTATGTGTGTACAATGTCTTTATTCAAAAAAAAATTATTCATTATCAATAAATTAAATAAGAGAAATAATTTCATTAGTTATATTGTCTTTAAATTAAAGTGAGAACTAACTCGTAATGTCCTTGTTTGACAATCGGCAGTTAGTGGTTAGCGTTAGTGGATTATATTAGCGAATTTGACTAATAAATTATATCAATGGTTGGTAAAAAGATATTTGAAAAAATTAGTTGTTTAGATTAACATGTAAAATGACTTAAGGATATACATATATTTAATAATAATAATAATAATAATAATAATAATAATAATAATAATAATAATAATAATAATAATAATAATAATAATAATAATAATTGTTTTAAAAATAAATAAAAAAATAGAATTAAGCCAATCATATTAACTACTTGGGGGCATTCAAAAAAAAAATATTAACTACTTGGGGGGATTTATTGACAAAAAAGAGTATTTAAATCACACAACAAATTGAAGTGGGAAACTATCTCGCAATGTCCTTGTTTGACAATCAGCAGCTCTTCAATATTAGTATATATTTAATATTTTATGCCATAATTTTTATTTGCTATCCCTTATGTCCCGTATTTAGTTTCAACCATACCTATACAATTATTTTATTGACAATTATAATCAATCTTGACTATATTATCTTGCATTTGTAAACTTAGAATTGCATATTTAAATACGCAAATTTAACATTCGATTATCTATGCATGAACAATTTCAATATAATCTTGCATTGATATACTTTAAAATACTTATTAAAAAAAAATTGGGCATTATCTCAATCGCAACTAGTAATATAATAAGAGTAAAATAGAGTACTAATTATGCGAACTTTGATTGAGATGAGGTTCGAACCTAAGATCTTTCTTATTGAAATCAATAAGTTAACGGTGAACTAATAGAAATTAACAGAAAAGATAATATTTAACAAAAAAGTTAACGGATAATCATATTCATTAATGATAAATTAGGAAATCTCAAAGAAAAATTAAAATCTGATCAATCTGAGCCATTCATTTGATTAAAAAATTTGACCGTCATTTTTTCTACCCATTATAGGCCTAACTCTCTTGGGCTCTTATTAGTATATAATAATAGATAATAGATGTATTGTAGATATAGAATATATAGATTAGTCAATATTCATAATATAGACATATTATTTTATATTCAATTGACTCATAATTTAAATTATGAAAAGAATATACATTGATATTTTGTAATTACGTCCATAATGCAATATGGAAAGAATCAATGGACACAGTAATACATAATTGAAATTATTAACTCATAATTAAAATTATGGAAAGAATATACATTGATATTTTGTACTTACGTCCATATTGCAACACAAAATATTATGAATTATACATAGACTAATTATATACACACGGATATTACATAAATGCTCTTAAGTTTTGAGGAAAAACTTGGCTAGGAGGATTTTACTTTTAATTAATTATTATATATAGAATAATATAGATATAGATATATTAATATTAATTAATTAATTAATTAATAGATAGATTTTAAAATGCTAGTATGTGTAATGTGTGTATAACTGATCCAATTAAAATTTGGGCTTTATCTACTGATTTTGATGAAGATCCAACCCAATACTTTTAACATTAAGCCCAATATGCTCCACCCAAAGTCCCAAACCCTAGCTTTATAAATTCTAGTTTCAATGTTTAACGCAGCTGTTCAGGCATTCTTCCGAGTCTCCATCTCTTCTTTCGTTTCAGAGTTCCGGTTTTCTTTCACGAAATGGTGAATTTTCTCGCAACTTGATTGGTTTTGTTTTGTTCTGGCATTTGATTTATGTATAATCATACTAATTTATATGAATGTGTGGATAATTGCAGGTTCTCCCAAACGATATCGATTTGTTGAACCCTCCTGCTGAGCTCGAGAAGAAAAAGCACAAACTCAAGCGCCTCGTGCAGTCTCCCAATTCTTTCTTCATGGTATGTTCTCTCTTACTGTAGGATTGGTTCTCTGTTTTGTTAGCTTAAGTTTGTTCAGTATTGTTAAATGTTTGCTTTGCTTTGTTTGTGTTTTGATTTTGATTTGATTTTCCTTTTGTGATTGTGGTTTTCTTGTAGGATGTCAAGTGTCAAGGTTGCTTCAATATGTGAGTAATATGATTATGATTTTTTGTTGTTGTATTATTGTATGAAATCATTCTTGAAATTTTATAGTTTAGTTACTTTAATGGTGATTACAAAATGAAATTGAATTGATCCGATATGTACAGAACCACTGTGTTTAGCCACTCTCAGACTGTTGTGGTGTGCGGGAACTGCCAGACAGTATTGTGCCAGCCGACTGGTGGGCGTGCCAGACTCACGGAGGGATGCTCTTTCAGGAGGAAGGGTGACTAAAGGCTTGATATTGTCTCTTTTTTTGTTTGAAGTTTGATATATTCCTAAAATTTTGAATTTTAATGTGTAGTTTATGTTGAGACTTGAGTTTTAGATAAACGCTGTTATAAAATTATGTGTTTGACAAATTATGTTTTTGAATGATAGATTCTGTTTCGTCTAGCAATGTGTGGCTCTATTTTATTTGGAGTTAATATATATTGTGATTGCCATTATGTCTCTGTAATTGTTGATGCATTTATGAAATTCTGGCCAAAGCTATGTTGATTCTTGTGTGAAATTATTCAATCTTTATGAAATTCTGGCCAAAGCTATGTTGATTCTTGAGTGAAATTATTCAATCTGTCTTTCTATATACTGCAAAAGATGCTGTTGAACTTTGGTCATTACAAATATCTTGAGATTTGCAGCTTATTCTTGAGTTCTGTTTTCATTCTATCTTTCAAGACAAGAACATGGTCTCTGCTCCCGAATATAAAATGCACATTAACTCACTACTCTTGACCGCTATGTCAAGAACGTGTGTTCCTCGTAATATGCACATGCAGTCACCGGTTTTGAGTACACATTGCTACTTACAATGTATGTTTTGTTGCATTTTTTGTCATGGCTCTATTATAATTTGTTTGAAGATGATGCATGCTGTTGATATGAATGATTTTTAATTGCCATTTGTGATAATTATTAGAAAATGCAGATGTTGTCAGGTAGGCACTCTGATTTCTCATATCTGTGCCGCCATCAATTTGAGCAATGCTTTGCTATCTTTAGTTTTTGGGATGATGAGCGAAACTTTAGGACCCTTTCGAGTGCGAGTACCTGCCTTGTGACCTTAGCAGGCAAAGGATCACAAGAAAGTAAATCACCCTAGGTTACCTATAATTGACTGGATCAAACTAGGGTCCAAGATTTGAACTTGTGACCTTGCTTGTCATCTTGGTTAGGGTTACCCTCATCTTTAGTTTTCTTTCCCCTACAAATTGTGTCATCTGCATATAGCTTTGGAGCAGCCAGGCTCACCCTGCTCTTACTGGACAAACTTAGCATTCTTTGTGGAACAAAACAATAAATTTCACTGATATGTTCGTTCACCTTGTCTACTATCATGTTTATTGAAAAGCCTTTACTAGCATCTTCTTGCTTCCACTTTCTTATTTGGCTCTTTATTTGTTTTCTTCTTTGATCTTTATGTGTTTTGTTCCTCTGTTCTTTTTTGATGCCTTAAATGGAGAAATCTTGTGAAACTAACTATTATATTTTGTGAAATTCCCTCCCACTTCCTCCAATCTTGTAAAGCTATTAATAAAACTAATATTCTATCTTGTAACTCATTACTTAATTAAGTCTAGCAAGTCATTAAAGCAACTTAGCTATTTACTTGCCAGTCATTAATGCTTCACTGTTTCAATAGAACCCAAAAAATGCCTAAAATTACATATGGCCAATTTATCAAATAGGCGTTCAAATTATACTCAACAATAATTTGTTTCCTAAGCTGCAGCAAGTTGAAACATAAATTGCAGAGTTAAAGTCAGACAGTAATACAAATCTAATTACACCCAACAGATACACCTAATTGATTGGATTCCTTACTCTAGCAGATGCAAATTGTTTAGCAACAGTCTATTTACAAAAGATTCAAAACCAAAATACCTTATTATTTTTATTTTTATTTTTGTTATTTATACAATACAGTGTGAAGTGTATTTTTATTTTTGTTATTTATAGTGTGATTTTATTATTTTATATGTTTGTAACCGTATTAAACAAAATGCCTAGTTCAACTCTAAGAATGCAAGCTAAGATCAACTAGGTCTTTATTAAGAACTGTTAGGAGTTTGATTAAGAACTGTTCTTCCTCCTTTTTCTCACACTAAACAATACTTTATTCACTTCATTTTGTTGCTTGTTTTTCGCAAAAGACATAGTGGTTAAGCCTGTTCATTGAAAAAAAGATTTAAGAACAATTGAATTCACGTGAAAACAAGATTCAAGAACAATTGAAAAATTGGTATATACCCTGAGAGATCAGGTTACTCACCCTGTCAATATTTGTGTGAGGTGTGGATGCTTTTTGATCGTATTTTTTGGGATTTTTGATCATCTTCTTGGGCATATTCTTAGTTATTGTGTTAGGTGTGTAGATTTTTAGATTTTCTTATATGCTTTTAAGGTTGTTGTAGATTTTTTTATGCTTTTAAGGTTGTTGATGCCAATCACTCTATCCTACTAGAGTATAATGTTTCAGTACAGAAGAATGAAAAGAAAGAGACAAGAAAACAGAGGAAAAGAAATAATAGATGATGTTTATGTGTGCTTATAGTCACCTGAAGTCATAATTTTTGAGGTTTTTTTTTAGTGGCTATAGGATTTAATGAGTTTTGTTGGTGAAGTACTCCATACTGGTCTATGTTGTATTCTCCGTCACTCTGTAGAATTGTGTCAAAAACTTATCGGAAAAATTATTGTGAACTGTAGATCTACACTGTTAGCCGCACATCAATTCTCTCATGATCATAAAATGCTTACGAAGGCTAGGAGAGAATGAGGATGTAATCCTTATGCTAAAGTAAAACAATCAAACACCTCTCCCCGATGCAGAGATTTTGAAAGACAAGAAAGTGATGGTAAAAGAGAAAGTGATAGTAAATGATTGAAGAAACTGGAAATCTTCCAAGGTAGAGTAAGTAAGAGAGTGTTAGGCATATACAAGTTTTTGTAATTCGAATGAAAATAGTTCTAATATTACATTATTTTAGTTTTAGATTTAGGATTTTGATTGTAAATAGTTTTGAATTAAGAAAGTGAAACCTAGTGCTATAATCACATTATTAATACTTTTTTCTTTTGTATCTAATTATTGTCACTAATTAAACTAACACATTGACAAGTTTAATAATATTTATGGGGTAACTAATCAAATTATAAAAAATTGTGTTTGGTAAAATAAAAAATTTGGTTTTACTTAATGACTCAACTAATGTTTTAAATTCGAATGGAAATATATGCTATAAATTTTGACGAGAAGTGTATTTTAATTTGAAAAATTGTACCTTCAAATTTACTTGTATTTAATCAAATCATAAGTGTCAAAAGGATTTTAGAAGCAGCAAAGTTTTTAGGAAATTACTTATAAGCAACGAAGATTTTGGAAGCAAAAAAAGATTTTTGAAGATTTTCTATAATAAGCAAGAAAGGTTATGAGAATATTTTGAAAGTCATCCACTAGCAATAAAGATTTGAAGCAGTTGAGTTTTCAAAAAATTAGAAGCAACAAAGGATTTTGAATTTGAAAACAAGTTTACATGCAACAAAGTTTTTGAGAAGAAATTATGTTGAAAACATAAATTTCAAATTTGAAACACAAGTTATAAAGAGTACAAATTTGGAAGGAGAACAAGTTATAAGAAGTACAAATTTAAAGCACAAGTTATAAAGAACACAAATTTGGAGCACAAATTATGAGTAAAGTTTTAAGAGCATGAATTGCAAAAACAAGGAATTAGCAGCAAGGGTTTGAAGCAGAAGTGAGTATACAATTGAAACTCTACCATATTCAAATTCTTACACAAGTTTCAAGAATGATACACATCAAATGGAAAAAGTTTTAAAAGTTAATAAAGCATGTTTTCTAAACCAAGTAGCAGGATCAAAATTTCAATACATCAAATCAAGCTACAACGGTCAAGATCATAGATAAAAAATTGTTATTCCAACGGAGACAATTTATATAAGGGCATGAAGACTTGAAGGGAAAAAAAAAGAGAGGAGACATAACAGAGCAGAAGTGATGCAACTATTCAAAAAAAAAAAAATCATTCTAAGTTCAAAGATATTCATATCATTCTTCATATGTATATTGCGTAAAAAAGGAGACTAATCTTTTAAGTCTCAAACGTTGGAAAGAAAATTCTTTCTTCCTTGTATCACAAATTCTCTACTAAGGGTAGATAGAGGAGAGGAACAAGGAGTTGTGAAATTCTAAGATTAGTGCTGGCTTTGCGACCAAAGCACTAAGTCTTATTCATTATTGTATCTTGTACCAAAGTGGTAGATATAGTGATCAATTCTTTCTGGAGATAGGAGTAGAAAGATTACATACACATTCGAACAACTATAAAAATTCTTGGCCATTATTTTACTTTGAGCTTTACTTTTTTGCATGCTTTTAACTTTCACAATCATTTTAAGTTTTCAAGCACGTACTATACATCACATAAAATTATTCCGTTGTGCATAAACTAAGGCTTGAACCCACACCCTTCCATATGGGAGTACAACCCGAATACTATTAGACCACAAGGTCTTGACACTTTTTTTTTTTTTTTTTTTTTTTTTTTTTTTTTTTTTTTTTTTTTTTTTTTTTTTTGTATCTAGCTTACTTAGAGTTAAATTTGAAAAAGTTTAAAAAGTCTATTCAACTCTAGGCTTTTTACCACCCAACCGAGATCAACAAGGACGGAGCCAAAGGGGGAAGTGAGGGGGGGGGGGGGGGGGGGCAGCTGTCCCCCTCACCCCACCCCCACTCCATATATAATCTTTGTATGTATATATGTATATATAGTACAAGATTTAGTAGTAGTATAAAAAACTATTAAATGTCAACAAGAAATGAGTTAGATTAGTCGGTAGAACACATGTTTGGCAATAGTAAAGGTTAAGGATTTTGAATCCTTGGCATTAACATAGTTTTATAGTTTTTTTTTTTTTTTTTTTTTTTTTTTTTTTTTTTGACTCTTCCCCTATAGCTTCAACACAGTCACATTTTTAATAGTTTTTTTAATATTTAATACACACACAAAACATTTATAATGTGTTTTCTATTCAAATTATTTTATCAAATTAATTATGTTTCATATTTTGTTAAGGATTTCGTATCCTTGGCATCAACATAGTTTTATAGTTTTTTTTGCCTCCTCTCCTATGGCTTCAACACAGTCACCTTTTTAATAGCTTTTTAAATATTTAATACACACACACACACTTATAATGTATTTTCTATTCAAATTATTTTATCAAATTAATTATGTTTTATATTTTGTTATGATATTTTTATAAAGTTTCGATGTGTTTTATTTTTCGCCCATATCCAACAATATTTACAACTATATTTCTTAGGTAATTTATTTATTTATTTTTTAAATTATCTTTTTGTTTTAATGTTTCGCCTTTATTGGAAAAAATTTCTGAATCCGTCCCTACTTCTTCTCCCCCTTCAATCGAATT